AAATAGACCTTAGTGAGTACTTTATTCAGAATTAAAAGAAAATAGTGATGGCAACTGATCAAGAACAAGAAATGATATACATGCATCTTATCTGAGAATGAGTAAACTTAGAAGTGTACTAGAGTACCCTCCTCAAAGGTATAACTCTCCCACCCATATTTACTAATACCTATTGAATTTCTGAATAAATCAACCAATCATTCATGTATGTAAGAAGCTGACCCCCCCATTCTATATATTTTCTCACAGTTAGTGAATGTTATAATGGATTTTCTTTATTTCAGAACCAAGTTCCTTATCCTATGGCCAACCCAACCTTTCTCCTGACAGCATCCCTAGTAACATGTTCCCTTTCCTCTGAATATAGGAAATTATCTCATTCCATCGCACATCATTTATGAACAAGGGTTTTATTCCACGTCAAGAGACTTTCCTATATCAAATGCCATTTTAAATCATCAGTATACAGCTAGATCCAAAACTGTGTTACAAAAAATATTGATGGAAAAGACAAAGTAGCTACTTGACAAACCTAACCTGGAACAATAACAGTACACTAAAACAAAAAAAATATTTTACAGACTAATGTTGTTTGTCCAACATTAAACGGATTGTATTGCAGTTTAGTTAGAAGCACTGTTCATCTTGTGTCCTTCACTATTAATTTACAACTAAGGGACGCAGGTGATTGCACGGTTGACTGCTTCCTTGTGGTGCAGTTGCTGCACAGAAAGCAACCCATATAAAGATTTGCATTATTTGTGCCTCCATAAGAGTATCTATAGAGGCCAAATGTGGCATTCAGGCCACACTTTAACCTTATGTCAGGAATTCAGTAAGTAACAAAAAACAGTTGGACTAGATACATTGTTCATTAACATTAAAAATCCTTTATCCTTTTGGTTTTTTGAGCATTGTTTTAAGTTTCAACATTGCTGTTTTATTTTATGTTTTATTTAATTGTGTTTTTATCTGGATTGTTACTACGCTCTTATTTTAAACTAGCCATCCCCTGCCACGCGTTGCTGTGGCCCAGTCTGTGCATATGTGTCTTGTGTGTGTATATGTGTATATATGTGGTTTTGTGCGTACATTGTAATGTATTTTATTATTTTTTGGCTTTTTAAGTCTCTTCCACTGCATTTTCAGTGTTTTTATGAGTGATGGTTGCTCGTTGGCCTGAGAGGTGTCTTGTGTCCAAATTTGGTGTCAATTAGCCCGGTGGTTTTTGAGTTATGTTGATCCCACAAACGAACATTACATTTTTATTTATATAGACTAGCCATCCCCTGCCACATGTTGCTGTGGCCCAGTCTGTGTAAATATGTTGTGTGTGTATATATATTTGTGTATATGTGTATTTATGTGGTTATGTGCATATGTTGTAATGTAATGTATTTTTATTTAAATTTTTGGCTTTTAAAGTTTCTTCTGCTGTGTTTTTCAGTGTTTTTATGAGTGATGGTCACTCGTTGGCCTGATAGGTGTATTGTGTCCAAATTTGATGTCAATTCGTCCACTGGTTTTTGAGTTATGTTAATCCCACAAACATTACATTTTTATTTATATAGATTGTGTTTTTGTTTTAATTGATTGTTTTGCTTTTATGTTTTGTGGGCATTTTGACCCATATGTGAGCCACCCCGAGTCCCTTTGGGAGATGGTGGCAGGGTATACGAAAATTATTGTTATTATTGTTATTATTATTATGCTTTCAAAGCAGCACCTGATGTTTAAAGTTCTAACTTTCTTTGCTGTTGAAAAATAAACTAGATTATATTTTATACTATTAAACTTTCTGTATTAAATATTTCAACATTATCTGAATATATGGGTTTCTTAATTTATAGGTTCATTATTCCTCTTTTAATTATATCACTAATAACAACATCGAATCATAAGATGGCACTGTCCTATCCATGGCACATCAGCTGTGAGTTACCAAAGGTCTGAACATGCATCATCACATTTTTGGGCTATGACAATGGCTACAAATACTGACTCTCTGTTGTTTTTTAATCTCAGCATATTTGTCATTTGTGTTTTCTTATGATGAATTTAGACTGTGATAATCAGGACTCTGGTTTGGAAGCAAATTTCATAAACATTGTAGGGTTTATTTAAGAATAAACATGCTTAGGCTAATGACTGAAGTCAAACAAGTATTCAGCAAGTGTTAAAGAAAATCACAGCATTACTTTTCTTCAAGGTTTCAAGCAATTTTAAAACTTTAAGATATATATACCCTTTGTCCCTTCACAGGGCCCTTCCACACAGCATTATAATCCAGAATATCAAGGCAGAAAACCCCATAATATCTGCTTTGAACTGGGTTATCTAAGGTTCCTTCTAGACATCTGAATAAAAGCCCACATTTTCTGCTTTGAACTGGGATACATGGCAGTGTGGACTCAGATAACCCAGTTCAAAGCAGATATTGTGGGATTTTCTGTCTTCATATTCTGGGATATAGGGCTGTGTGGAAGGGCCCAGATTCAACTTACATTATGTTTGTATTCAAATCACACATTATTAAATAAATTTTATTAAATAAAATACAGTACTTGTATCCTCAAATACCTGACAAGTGCCAGGGGTCCACAAAAGTAAAGAGCTCTCTACTTATTCTTCCTGATTTTAAACATCATAATCAGTTAGTAAATAGTTTCTTATATACAGTATAGGGAATTTTCCAGAGAAGATAAATGTTGCATTTCAACTGACAGAGGTAGAACAAAGCAAAGGAAGAGAAGCTTGAGATTGCTTATTGTTGCAATGGAAAATATTGTGACATTTAGATTGTAGTTCGACCTGTTCTTACACACAGAATATGTCCAAATAAATGTAACAGGACCATATATATATATGGTAAAGGTTTCCCCTGACATTAAGTCTTGTCCTGAAGGAATCTGGAGGGAGGGGATACTCCTCTCCATTCCTAAACCAAAGGGCCAACATTGTCCATAGACACCTCCTAGGTCATGCAGCCAGCACAACTGCATGGAGCACTGTTACCTTTCCGCAGAAGCAGTACCTATTGATCTACTCACATTTGCATGTTTTCAAACTGCTAGGTTGGTAGAAGCTGGGGCTAACAGCAGGAGCTCACCCTGTTCCCCAGATTTGAACCACCTATCTTTCGGTCAGCAAGTTCAGCAGCTTAGTGATTTAACCCGCTGCACCACCAGTATATAGTATATTATATACACTCTCTCTCCCTCCCCCCTCTCTCTATATATACATACACACATATATATATCTATATTATATATATATATATACACACACACTATATTTATACTATATATAGATAGATAGTGCAAATATAGCAAAATTAAATGTGAATTAGATTTCATGTTTAATTAAAAATACTTCCTTTTGTGAAATAAATTTCAAACAAAAATGGCAATGCTCTAATATATACCATTTAAAATAAAGTAAGTAGGCAGAACTCTTAACTCTAGTGGTGTCAGCAATTATTACAGTAAGTACACAAGTTTTGAATTAGTTAAAACCTACTATCTGACCCACCAATTTTATATATTAACCACAAAAAACAATTAGAGGCAGGGCTGATAAAGAAAGAACTGCTTGTGGGAATTTAAACTGAATGAGATTCAGCCGCTTTGCATGAGTTTCGAGGCTGTTCTTATCTGTGTATCATCCACAAAACAGATTGCAGTGCTAACAATCATCCCCAACTATAATCTGTGACTGATTTTTCGAGTAACGTCTCAATTGTATGATAATACCTGAAGCATAAAACTGTTTCAAATATCATCTCTCAAAGCAAAGGGCATTTTACACAATTGGTTGCAATCTCCCAGTATATTAAGAATGGTAAACAATCAGAATGATATTCAACAACACAAAAGAATACATTATGAATATTTATCAACTTTAGATATTAATTTCACTATTTTTGTCACTAATTTTTTCTTGGCAGTATTAGAAACTACTCTCATCAGGTCACAATAAAATGAATTGTAAACAACCAAAATAAGATTAAACAACATAAATTAACACATTATCAATACTTATCAACTTCAGATATTAATTCCAACCTTGTCACTCTCTTTTCTTGCCAGAATTAGGAACTACCCCCATCAATTCACAATAAAATGAATGATAAACAATGAAAATAGCAATGAACAACACAAACCTTATCAATACTTATCAAATTTAGATACTAATTCCAACCTTGTCACTCTCTTTTCTTGCCAGAATTAGGAATGATCCCCATCAAGTCACAATAAAATGAGTGGTAAACAATGTAAATAACATTGAACAACACAAATGAACACATTATCAATAGTTATCAACTTCAGATATTAATTCCAACCTTGTCACTCTTTCTGTCTTGCCAGAATTAGGACCGATCCCCATCAAGTCACAATAAAATGAATGGTATACAATGTAAATAACACTGAACCACACAAGCATATTATCAATAGTTATCAACTTCAGATATTAATTCCAACCTTTTTGTCTTGCCAGAATTAGGAACTACCCCATCAAATCACAATAAAATGAATGGTCAACAATAAAAATAATATTAAACAACATAAATGAACACATTATCCATAGTTATCAACTTCAGATATTAATTCCAACCTTGTCACTCTTTTTTTCTTGCCAGAATTAGGAATGATCTCCATCAAGTCACAATAAAATGAATTGTAAACAATAAAATAAGATTGAACAACACAAACACACACATTATCAATACTTATCGACTTTAGATATTAATTTCAACCTTGTCACTCTTTTTTCCTTGCCAGAATTAGGAAAGATCCCCATCAAGTCACAATAAAATGAATTTTAAACAATCAAAATAAGATTGAACAACAGAAACAAACACATTATCAATATTTGTCTACTTTAGATATTAATTCCAATCCTGTCACTCTCTTTTCTTACCAGAATTAGGAACTACCCCCACAATTAAATGATTCTCTATTAATATATATATAATTAGAAATGTTTATTAAATTATTTACCTCGGTCGGGCTTCATCTTGAGTCCAGTCCTTTTTGTGTGTCCAGTCTCGATAAAGGATGCCTTCACAAGGTTTGTGTTCCTTTCTCTCTTTGTAGTGGTGTTGATGCCACCTCCAGCTATTCCTCTCTCTCTCCCTTTGTTGTTGTTAATGGAATAATAATATTAAAAATCCAACCCTTTTCCTTAACAGCTTACAAGGCTGTCGCAGCTAGGCCTCCTCCTGGCATTCATGGTGGTGGCCAAAAAAGCAGTCTGCTGGGGGGGAAAAAAGGCTAAAGGCTGCCAGCCTTTCTCCCTCTGGAACTTGCCAATGTGTCCTTCCTTGACACAGGTCTATTTATAACCTGCGCTTAGACAACAAAAGCTGGAACTCTGGCACAAACACACACTCCAAAGACACCCACCAAAGAGCAAAGGCTCTGAATCACAAGGGCCCCAGGGCAAGGAATGTCAGCCCAAGCTGGACTCCATGGGGTTTTACCTGTTTCCAGCCAAGGAGGGGTGGGTTGGTTGGTTGGAGAGTGGAGTGCCTCCTCCTCCTCCCTCTTTCCCCCAATTGAGTCTAGCCTAAATAAAAACAGTCTGGCAGCCCTCTCGGCTCTCCCATCCTCACAACACAAGAGATAAGACAGAAAAGGACTCTTCCAAACACACACACTAAGACACTGAGAGGCAAGCTAAGCTTCCTTGACTTTGTCCCTCAAGATTAAAAACAAACCCAGGCCTGGACAACAACAGTCAGTTGTGTCCTCCTTTCTCTTTCTTCTGCAGCAACAGCCCTCCCCTTTCTTGGCGCAAAGAGAGAAGCACGTCTGAAGGCGGCTTCACGCAACTTCACCTGACACAACCCTGGGAAGAGGAAAAGAGGGAGTCTCTCTCTCTCTCTGTGTGTCACTGCCTCGTTTCTAACCCTCTTTCTATTGATTCTGATCCCTTTTCCTCCTCCCTAGACTATCACCAGCCCTGCACGCGTCACGTCTGAACCGCACCCGTGTTGACACGCGTGTTGATGTTTATCCCGCCACCAAACAAAAGGAGTAATAGAGCAGATGCAAGAGAGTTTGCTGGTTTGTTGTTCTCGCCCTGTCCTCAACACGCTTCTCCCGCCACGCATTCGCACGTTCCTCCTCTTTAGACACTCGCCTGCCCCATACCCAGCCCGACACGCGTCGCGTCTGAACCGCACCGGTATTGACACGCGTGTTGGATGTTTACCCCGCCACTAAAAAGGAGTAATAGAGCAGCACACAAGAGGAAGGGGTTTCTGTTAGGCTGTTACACGCGTCCTCCTTGTCAGACCCTCACCTGCCCCATACCCAGCCCGACAAAAGTCACGTCTGAACCGCACCGGTGTTGACACGCGTGCTGATGTTCACCTCCCCCCCCCCCACACACACACACCAAAAAGTAACAGAGAAGCCTCGCAGACACAAGAGGAAGGGGCTCCTGTTAGGTTGTTGCGCTCTCCCCGCCCTCACTCAACACGCTTCTCCCGTCACGCGTCCACACGTTCTCCCGGACACGCGTCTTCCTCTTCTCCCTCAGGGGGAGGCTGCTGGGACGGAGGGATGGCCATGACTCCTTCCTTCCTCTGCTCAGCTGCTGACTAACTGCCTCCTCCTCCTCCTCCTTCCTCCTCCTCCTCCTCCTGACACTTTTCTGTCTCCAGCCAAGCGGGCCGCACGCATCCCAGCTGCTCTTAATGGCGCTGCGGCGGGAAGAGGAGGGAGAAAGAAGGAAGGGAGGGAGCACAGGCCCTAGTCCCGAAAGGAGAAGCCCCGGCCCTGCCGAAAGGACGCCTTCCCCGCCGCCTCGCTCCTCGCCTCGGCCTTCATCCCGATGCCCCCCTCTCGAGACCCAATTCCGCGCGCGCTCCCCTCTCTCTCTCCCTCAGAGAGTCTTTTTTGCCCTGTCAAAACAGACACGCGGGGTCACGTGGCTCCGCGGCAGCCAATCACCGCTGCGGATTTCTTCTCTCTCTCCTCCCCCCCCCCCACCGCTTGTTTCTAGGCCCGGCGAGGAACTTTCCGTTGTCATAGCAACCGAAGCCTAAGTTGAGGCCTAGTTGTTAGTAGAAAGCCAGGCCCAAGCCTTACTTCGAGTGTGCGTTAGAATATTGTGTCCAATTCTGGGCACCGCAATTGAAGGGAGATGTTGACAAGCTGGAATGTGTCCAGAGGAGGGCGACTAAAATGATCAAGGGTCTGGAGAACAAGCCCTATGAGGAGCGGCTTAAAGAGCTGGGCATGTTTAGCCTGAAGAAGAGAAGGCTGAGAGGAGATATGATAGACATGTATAAATATGTGAGAGGAAGCCACAGTCCCCTGCCATGCGTCGCTGTGGCCCACATGGGAATTCTGTGTGGAAGGTTTGGCCCAATTCTATCGTTGGTGGGGTTCAGAATGCTCTTTGATTGTAGGTGAACTATAAATCCCTGCAACTACAACTCCCAAATGTCAAGGTCTATTTCCCCTGAACTCCACCAGTGTTCACATTTGGGCGTATTGAGTATCTAGGGCTGGGCGGTTTCGTTCATTAATTTCGTAATTCGTTATTGATTCGTATTTAAATTAGCTTACGATCCGATATTGAGCCATGCAGGAGCAACTAAAAATCGAAACGAATTTTTCAATTTATTTCGTAATTGTTTCGTAATTGTTTGAAATTGTTTCGAAATTGTTTCCGAATGTCTGGTGCAAGTTTTAGGGTTGTTGTTTGTTTTATCAGTGATAAAAAATAAATTATCACACCAACAGTCAACAACAGAGGGAGAGGGAAGCTTCAGAAGTTCCCCCTGTCCCATTTGGAGGGTTTTTTTTTTTTAGCATATTGCGCAATCGCGTCCGCCATTAACGAATCGATTCGTAATTTTATGAAATTTCGTATATTTCAAAAATTTTTAAAGAAAAATTTCGGAATTATTTTAAAAAACGAAATGCAAAAACCCCCTAAAAACGAATTGAGTTTAGAAACAAATTTTTCCATGGTTACCCAGCCCTATGAGTATCCATACCAAGTTTAGTCCAGAGCCATCATTGTTTGAGTCCACAGTGCTCACTAGTTGGAGGTGAACTAGAATTCCATACCTCAAGGCCAATGCCCACCAAACCCTTCCAGTATTTTCTAATGGTCATGGGAGTTCTGTGTGCCAAGTTTGGTTCAATTCCATCATTGGTCTGGTTCAGAATGCTCATTGATTGTAGGTGAACTATAAATCCCAGCAACCACAACTCCCAAATGACAAAAATCAATCCCACCCGCACCCCCCATCCAAACTGGTATTCAGTTTTGGGCGTATTGGGTATTTGTGCCAAATTTGGTCCAGTGAGTGAAAATACATCCTGCATATCATATTTACATAACGATTTACATAACGAGCTCTTGAGGATTACCTGGGAAGGAATCCCACTGGAGCATTGCAGCACACCCAAATACCTGGGAGTGACCCTGGACCGTGCTCTGACCTATAAGAAGCACTGCCTGAACATCAAGCAAAAAGAGGGTGCTAGAAAAAATATCATACGAAAGCTGACTGGCACAACCTGGGGTTCACAACCAGACACAGTGAAGACATCTGCCCTTGCGCTATGCTACTCTGCTGCTGAGTAAGCATGCCCAGTGTGGAACACATCTCACCACGCTAAAACAGTGGATGTGGCTCTTAATGAGACATGCTGCATTATCACAGGGTGTCTGCGCCCTACACCAATGGAGAAATTACCGTGTTTAGCCGGTATTGCACCACCTGACATCTGCCAGGAAGTAGCAGCCAGTAGTGAAAGGACCAAGGCAGTGACATCTCCAGCTCATCCCTTGTTTGGGTATCAGCCAGCATGCCAACGACTTAAATCAAGAAATAGTTTTCTAAGATCTACAGAGACACTCGCTGGAACACCCCAGCAAGCGAGAGTCCAAAAGTGGCAGGCTCAAACCCAGAACCTCAATCAATGGCTGATACCAAATGAGAGACTCCCCCCTGGGCACACAGAAAACTGGGCGACTTGGAAGGCGCTGAACAGACTGCGCTCTGGCACCACGAGATACAGAGCACAAAGTGGAATCCATGACATGCGAGTGTGGAGAAGAACAAACCCCTGACCACCTGCTGCAATGCAACCTGAGCCCTGCCACATGCAGAATGGAGGGCCTCCTTGCGGCAACACCAGAGGCACTCCAAGCGGCCAAATGTGAAAGGACATTTAATCTACCAAGCTTGCAAACTTTGTGTTTTGTTTGTTTGTTTTTGTTAAAAATGTAATACAAATGCCTGGTTGCTGCTGAAATGATAAATAAATAAATAAGGATTCAAAACAGTAGCAAAGTTACAGTTATGAAGTAGCAACAAAAATAATTTCATGGTTGGAAGTCTCCACAACATGAGATATTAAGAGGTTGCGGCAATAGGAAGGTTGAGAACCACTGATGTAGCTGCTGTAAAAATTACAGATCTTAAAACTCTTCTGGGTTGTTGTAGGTTTTTCGGGCTATATGGCCATGTTCTAGAAGCATTCTCTCCTGACTTTTCGCCTGCATCTATGGCAAGCATTCTCAGAGGTTGTGTAGTCTCACAACCTCTGAGGATGTTTGCCATAGATGCAGGCAAAATGTCAGGAGAGAATGATTATTATTTATTTACTATATTTGTATGGCATTCTTGAAGTGACTGGACTGACCTTGAAGGAGCTGGGGATGGTGACGGCCGACAGGGAGCTCTGGCGTGGGCTGGTCCATGAAGTCATGAAGAGTTGGAGACGACTGAACGAATGAACAACAACAATATTTGTATACCGTTCTTCTCAGCCCTCTGGGCGACTCAGAGCGGTTAACAAAGCAAATACAATACTTAAACATGATAATGCTTAATGCTTCTAGAACATGGCCATATAGCCCAAAAAACCTACAACAACCCAGTGATTCCAGCCATGAAAGCCTTCGACAGTACATTAAAACTGTTCATCGGATGGGCCATCGCAAAAGCATTAATCCTCCAATACAAAAGAAAGAATCTCACTGAACCAATGCGATTGCCAGTGTATGACTACGAGTGACTATATTCTGTGTGACTCAGATGCCCTCTAATAGGATGATATGGCTAATGAGTGGCGTCCTTTCAGAGAAACACGCAGGAGCTTAATAAGTCCTATTTTAATACGGCCTTGTAAGCAAGGCAAGGTCTGCATTGCCTATCATGAATAGCTTCCACATGTGGAAGGATAGCAGATCATCCCCACTTCTGCAATCACAGGAGACAATGTTAATTTCACAACAAACCAGTTGGTTCAGATAACAGTAATGAAGATGTTTCCTATGACCTTAACCTCTCCCACACTCGGCTGCTGTAAGTCTTTGCGGTTCTTTTGCTGCTATACTTTCCTGGAAGAACACTTACATGATTTACCCTCTCACCTCCACTCCCAACTTCTCTTTCAAAATCTTCCTTCTTTTATTTAGCCCAGGAAAATGGAACATATCACAGATGTCCCAATGGACAGAGAGTATCTTTACATTAGGTTGTTGTAGGTTTTTTCGGGCTATATGGCCATGTTCTAGAGCAGTGGTTCTCAACCTTTCTAATACCATGACCCTAAATAAAGTTCCTCATGGGTTGTTGTAGGTTTTTCCGGGCTATATGGCCATGTTCTGGAGGCAATTTTTCTCCTGACGTTTCGCCTGCATCTATGGCAAGCATCCTCAGAGGTAGTGAGGTCTGTTGGAAGTAGGAAAAATGGGTTTATATATCTGTGGAATGACCAGGGTGAGACAAAGGACTTTTGTCTGCTGGGGTTAGATGTGAATGTTTCAGCTGATCACCTTGATTAGCATTCAATGGCTTGGAAGTGCCCGGGGGGAATCCCTTGTTGAGAGTGATTTTATGTGCCTGTTTGTTTCCCCTCTGTTGTTTTGCTGTTGTGATTTTTGAGTCCTTTAATACTGGTAGCCAGTTCCTCATGTTTTGGTGACCCCCAACCATATTTTCGTTGCTACTTCATAACGGTAATTTTGCTACTCTTACAATGCATAATGGAAATATCTGATATGCAGGATTATTTTCATCGTTACAAATTTAACATAATTAAAGCATAGTGATTGATCACAAAAACAATATATTCAGGCAGTATGGACAATGGATGATGGGATTTGCAGTACCTTCAACAGATTCAGCTCTGACTTCCACAGACCATTGAGCCCCCCACAAATTATAGACCTGGAACAAACTTGGCACACAGAACCCCAATGACCAACAGAAAATACTGGAGTGGGCTGGGAGGAATTGACTATGATTTATAGGAGATGTAGTTCACCTACATACAAAGAGCACTGTGAACCCAAACGACTGTGCATTTGGACCAAACTTGGCACAAATACTCAATATGCCCAAATTTGAACACTGGTGGAATTTGGGGAAAACGGATCTTGACATTTGGGAGTTGCAGTTGCTGGAAACGGCAGGGTCGTGGGGGCAGCCCTCCGCCTCCCCCCTGCACCCTCCCTAGCTGGGAAAGGCGTGGGGGTCGGGCAGAAGGGCTGCCCAAATGGCAGGCCATGAGGGCAACCCTCCACCTGGACCCCGCGCCCTGCTCTATCGGCAAGGTGAACCTTCTTCCCACACGCACCTTTTCCTGCAAGCTCCTCCTCTTGGCACCACACAGCCCTGTGGGAAGAGCAGGAGGAGGAGCTGACCAGGAGTGCTAGCTTTTTGGCTGGCACAGGGGGTCGGCAGCCATTTTGGAGGGGGCGGGGCCATCCAAGGCACCTTCACAACCCCCCAAAAATGGCCCAACGACCCCCCTGGGGGTCGCGACCCCCAGGTTGAGAACCACTGTTCTAGAGGCATTCTCACCTGACGTTTCGCCTGCATCTATGGCAAGCATCCTCAGAGGCAGGCATGTAGCCGGGGGGGGGGGGCTTGAGGGGCTTCA